TTCGCGCTTGGATCTTTTGCTTTGAGCTAAAGAGAGGGGTTCTGGATCTTCTGGTGATCTCTCCCTCTTGCAAATAAACGGAATAGGTTGGGGATCGAGCAGGTTCTCGCTTTGGCGAGGAGGAGCCTTATGTCGAGCATCCTGTTATGAACAGCCAACAGTTAATAGGGCATCTGATCTTACCAATAATATATAAGTATTTATCAGAATAAATAAATCCAAACAACAGTTCCATGTCAAGAACTTACATTCGTCACTGTGAGGACTTTTCCATCGCAGGTAAGCTACTCATTTAAATTCATACATATCATCAAGCACTAATCCCCAGGAAAAACATAGTAAAATTCTCTTGAGTGGAATTTAATGGAAAAAAATCGACAGGAATTGCGAACTCCTTTTTCTTTTACTTGTGTAATTGACTTCAGAGGCTCCAGGTATGTAATGTCAATTAAACAAAGCTCCATCGCACCAACTACCCATACTAAAATCATAATATTTTTTCTCCCTTCTTCAAAAAAAAAAAAAGGGAAAAAAAGAAGAAAAAAAGACCCAAAACATCATTCCACCCACAGTTATCGTCACTAAACAAACTCGCATTCGACCAGCAACCATGGTAGCAAATAAAGCATCATAGTTTTTCAAGTTGAAGTTCATCTCCTCGGGTTTGCGATGATTGTCGACAGCACTTAACGCGAGCACCTAAGTGTGACTGCAGCCTAGTGATCAATGAAGTGTGCAGACATTGGAGACAAATAACACTACGTGATTTCTCCCAGCCTAAGCCTTAGTGTCCAGAGTTATCCGGCTAGTGGGAAGTAACAGGTACTGGAGCATTGTTGAGGTGCACGCGTGCTGGCCCCAACACCACTGTTACATAAAAATGCTGAAGTGGAAAGAGGGAGTAGCGACGGTGTCCTATGGCATAGCCGCTAGACCAAGTGTAAAGCAAAAGGCCTACAAATCTACCTAAAAATAAAAAATAAAATAAAAATAATTCAAGCCCTTGATATCCTTCAATACGACAGTTTACTTCCTTCTACTTTTTCTCTTCCCATGCATATCAATGCACGCCACGTTCTCATTCAGATGCAAAGTAGCTAATCGATTTGCATTCCCCTAACACTAAAATAATGTTCCCTAACTTGAAAATAGTCAACGAAAATCATCCATGATTGCCATAGTTTGAAACGACGAACAAATCAACACGTCCAATAAATCGGTCGGAGGATTTTATCCACTAAGAATTTTCTCCTAACACAAAGAGGAGGAAAGAAAACAAAAAACATAAATTGATAGATCACACATTCATAACTCTCCATTGATAGATCTAGCGTAGTCCTCGCCTGAAAGGCAGAAAAATCTTCTTCTTTCCTTTCTTGACGTAGGGCATTGAGAACTAGAAACTGGCTAGTTCTACTCCCCAAGTAGCCATATTATTACCCATATTAGAACTGCACTTACCGGTGATAAACGGAATCTGGAAAAATAAATGTGATATCCACATAATCTGAAAAGATAAATTTGCAAATTAATTATTCCATTTAAGAAGTTTGACTCTATGGCACGAAAACAAGTTGAGAAACTAACCAATCTAAAAACTATCTACATTTGTCTTCTTTTCATTCAGAGATAATTGGAAGTTTGGAACTAGCCTACATCCTGGACTCCATGTCGGGGACACAACTTGAAAGCCTTCTTCTAAGTTTCATGTCTAGCTCACTGCGTTAAATAGAGAGCTCGGTAGATTGCTCCCCAGGTCCTTAAAAAGACGCACTTATACTTGGAAGCAAAGAAGCAGGAAGATCAGACATTGTACGCCTTCCAAGTAACTTGAGGATATATATAAGGTCTCTATGCCAATGTGGCAACTCCGATACACGATTATGTGAAGCCAGACTAAATGGTTATAGAGAATGGAAAATAACCACCCTGCCGACTTGTGCCTCTGACCAGACAAAAACGGAGCTAAAATGAAACCTCAGCGAAGCCAGCTGTCTTCACGTTCTACTTGGGCCAATAAAAGATTACGACAAATAACTTAGATCACGACAAAAAACTTAACATCAGATGGATGAAAACATTTAATGGAGCAAACAACTATCACGTTCTAACAGAGACCCTGGTTTCCGACAAACAGTCATACATGGAGAATGAAGAGAAACTAAAAGAACATGACACATTCTTACAGAAGCTAAAAGGGTTTGGGTGGTTTCCGAGAATAGTCATACAAGGAGAAAGAAGACAAACTAAAAGCAGCAAATATTCTTGCAATTAAAAAAACTGCATCAGCATGTAACGACAATAGCATTCATAATTTCCTGTAATAGTAAGTTGCATTTATCCACATTAATAGCAGCAGCAGAAAGCGAAAATATGCAAAGATTTGCATTAAATGCATAGATTCGACGGATTGAAGAGATCAGGAAAATATGAACCTGGTCAAGGTCATTGCCCTCAACTCGCGCTTCATCACCATTGGCCGCGTCATCCTCTGTCTCTCCTCCGGGAACCAGGAGGGCTGTATCATCATCCCATTCCTCCTCAATAAATGGCGCATATCTGTCGCCATTCGGAGGTCCTAATCCACTTTTTTGGAAGATTCTACAAAGTACAAAGGCATCCTTTTTCCTCGCAAACAAACAAAAACATACTAAGATTCGAAATTTCAATAGAAAGTAGCCAAGTCCACATCCTATACATTTTCCGAATGCAAATTCGCACCTGCACAACTCCAGCCCTTTCCAATTCTTCATCAGTAAGTCTGTACTCATGCATCACCCAATTAGTTCTCTTACCATCGGGAGCTCGACCACTATGGAAAACGAGTGTTTTCTTCATTCCAATGGTCTGAGACTTGTGGCGAACAGGACGATCCTTCCCAGTAGCTTTCCAGTAGCCCTTGCCAGTGGCTCGGTTAAGTCGAGATCCATTCCCATACTTCCTATCTACAGGGCTGAAAAAGTACCACTCTAGATCTCTGGTCTTCAGCGATGAATATTCTGTACAGAAAAAAACAAAAGGCAACTCATCAAAATTAATGACTACCAAATTTAAGAGAAGAAAGTGTCTACAAAAACGAGAAACGGATAACACATCCAAACAAATACAGCACAGCTTTCACAACAACCGACAAAGAAGAAATGAGATTTTATGCAGCAGCATTATGACTTTTAGGGACACCAATCAAAAGTCAGAAATGCAGAAATCTTCCTGAAGACTAAGAACACTAACACTGCTTCTCTAATCAAAAAATTCTTTGTCGGGTTTTGCGTAAACATTCGAATTCTCTCTGACGTCTTCAAACGGGTAACAGATTTAAACCCTGTACATAGATAAGCTTTATGAGAGAGTAAAAAGTCTTTTAACAATGAGTCAGCACCTTCTCAGACCCTTCCTCTTTAAAAAATTGATGAAGAAACTTCTGTATACACTAAAAATTCAATATTTACATTAAAACAATCTTAAAGATACATTTTTTCTTACTAAAAACTCAATCTTTATGGTAAAACAATCATAAAGACACATTTTTATTACTGAAAACTCAATCTATGGTAAAAACAATCATAAAGACACATTTTTTCTTACTAAAAATTCGATCTTTGGGGTAAACCAATCATAAAGATACATTTTTCTTACTAAGAACCCACGCTTTATGGTAAAAACAACCATAAAAGACACATTTTATGTTACTAAAAAATCGATCTTTGTGGTAAACCAACCTTAAAGATACATTTTTTCTTACTAAAAATTCAATATTTATGGTAAATCAATCTTAAAAATATTTGTTTCTTACTTAAAACTCAATCTTTATGGTAAACCAATCTTAAAAATATCATTTTTCTTACTTATCAAAATAAAGAATTAAGCTTTCAAGCTTCATTTTTCCAATAAATTGAAACTAATTCATCCCAGAAAAACACAGAATAAACCACAAACAGATTGGATGTTTTCACTTACAAAACTAAGCAAACATCTCAAAAACAAACTCAATCTTAACATACATAACAAAAAAGAAAAAAAGAGAACAAGAGATGACAATTTTTTTAATAAAAAAACCCATAAACAAGATTAAAAAGATAATTAAAAAACAAACCTGCAAGTTCCCAAGGCTCAGATTTGTAAACATCAATTTCAGAAACAGCCTGAAACCGAAATGGCTTCGAACAAGCTTTTCTCCTTAGATAGTACCTCACCAACTCCTCATCCGTTGGATGAAACCTGAAACCCGGCGCTAACGACGTCGGCGGCGGAGCCACCGCCCTCTTCGGCGTCGCCGTCGTAACGGGTACTGCCGCCGGTACTATAACAAGTGCTCCTTCTTGCTCCATTTTTTGGCCGAAAAATCAAGAACCAAAAAAAAAACACAAGAAAATGATAATTAAGGTTTCTATTTAAGAAACCCACCACAGAAATAAAAGATACATAAGAAAGGGGCAAAAGGGTGTTAGGTTTTGAGAAGATTAGAAGTGAAGCAAAGCTTAAAAGAGAGAGAG